TCCCATGAATGGATCTTAGTTGGGGAAGCGTCACTTTAGAATGGATCTCTGCCAACAATTCCTATTTAGCATTGAGAACAGGGGCCGCCATTAGTATTGACTTTGGATTATCGCTGGAGAAGATGATCTGAGTACTCCGTAAATTTAGATCTAGAATTTCAAAAAGCCATAATCGCTCTCTCGCTAAAATAACTGTCCTTAATATATAGCTAGGCTGCCAACCATAAAATCATAATGAACGAGCTGAATCCAAACTGACGGTCTAGATTAATTCTAGAATTCAAAGCAGGCTCTCCAGAATCAAGACAAAATGTGCTCCCCTGGAATAACCCGCAATCCTACGCAAAGCGCAAAGCGACGATAGTTGAAAAGTATTAATTGACATTAGCCACGTTACATCCGTAGAACTTTTTACATCCCCCTCATTAATGCTCCTCGTGACTCAGCAAAACTTGTGTCATTTCACTCAGACTCGGCCTAGGCTGACTCCGAGTAAAAGAAGCCAACTGTTATAGCCATTTTAGTGTTAAAAAGTAATCTCAAATCAAAAGCAGACATGTGTCCCACATTATGCGTAATCGAGCCAGCTTTTCACTTTGAGATAACTGAAGGCTTAGCTCGGATGGCTCGACATGCTGACATATCGTGAGGGTAGCTCAAAATGCATGACATGTCGACACCTGGCTAGATAAACTTCTTGATCAACGTACTCGACTGACCGTTCGACCGACATCTCGCAAAGGAGACTCAAAAAGCGATACCTCTCGACCTTCCACAGGACGAGTGGAAAAACAACGACTACCTAGAGCCTCAAGTCCCCTCCCACGTTCTGACAGCTGATGACCACATAATATATTAAATACATAATAGGCGCCATCATTTCTTTATCCCTAATAGTCTTTATGACACATTGGACCACGTCGGCACCGCACGCCCCCAATCACTTCATATTAAATTCCGAAGTGACCTCTCCTCCACTCATCGACCGACACATATAAAGGAGATGCTAACTTGGCCGCTAGCCTATATTTGGTTGAATTTACTATCCTACCCCTCTACATCCACTGTAAATATGATTACTATTTTTAGTATAAAGGTAAAATCTTTACCTCTCCCCCATTGTGCTTAAGAACTACTATAGCTCAATTATTTCTCCACTCAAGCATATTACTGACATGATCATCATAGGAACAACTAGAGAACCCAACTCTGCCCTCTCATTTCACTCAGACTCGGCCTAGGCTGACTCCGAGTAAAAGAAGCCAACTGTTATAGCCATTTTAGTGTTAAAAAGTAATCTCAAATCAAAAGCAGACATGTGTCCCACATTATGCGTAATCGAGCCAGCTTTTTCACTTTGAGATAACTGAAGCTTAGCTTCGGATGGCTCGACATGCTGACATATCGTGAGGGTAGCTCAAAATGCATGACATGTCGACCCTGGCTAGATAAACTTCTTGATCAACGTACTCGACTGACCGTTCGACCGACATCTCGCAAGGAGACTCAAAAAGCGATACCTCTCGACCTTCCACAGGACGAGTGGAAAAACAACGACTACCTAGAGCCTCAAGTCCCCTCCCACGTTCTGACAGCTGATGACGCACATAATATATTAAATACATAATAGGCGCCATCATTTCTTTATCCCTAATAGTCTTTATGACACATTGGACCACGTCGGCACCGCACGCCCCCAATCATTCATATTAAATTCCGAAGTGACCTCTCCTCCACTCATCGACCGACACATATAAAGGAGATGCTAACTTGGCCGCTAGGCCTATATTTGGTTGAATTTACTATCCTACCCTCTACATCCACTGTAAATATGATTACTATTTTTAGTATAAAGGTAAAATCTTTACCTCCCCCCATTGTGCTTAAGAACTACTATAGCTCAATTATTTCTCCACTCAAGCATATTACTGACATGATCATCATAGGAACAACTAGAGAACCCAACTCTGCCCTCTGACTATTTTCTACCTGTGTAGGGAAATACGTTCTACTTTAGAATCGGACATTCGGAGGGTTAGAGGATCTCCGTCAACTAAATTGCTTCTCTCATTGACTATTTAAAATCAGCCATCAACAGTAGTATAATCTGGATTAAGAAGAAACCGATGTTAGCAATACACATTAAGATGATATTAAATTATCACTAGTAGAGAACAGAGCATTAGCGATGGGGTATTGGCGACAGATTTGAAATCCGTCGCCAATACAAACATTGGCGATGGAAATAAACTCGTCGCCAATACCCCATCGCCAATGTTTGTATTGGTGACAGATTTGGGCCGTCACTAATGTTTTTTGTCACCAATGACTATTGGCGACGGAAAACATTGGTGACGAATTGTGTCCATCGTTAATGTGTATTGGCGACGGACACGATCCTTCACCAATATTTTCTATTATTAATAGTTATTAGCGACGAAATACATTGGCGACGAAAATTATTGGTGATAGATCGTTTACGTCGCTAATAGGTATTGGAGACGGAACATGTCCATCGCCAATAGGTATTAGCGAAGGATCGTGCCCGTCACCAATACACATTGGCGACGAAAAGGATCTGTCTCCAATACCTATTGGCGACAAAAATGATCCGTCGCTAATGTTTTCCGTTGCCAATACACATTAGCGACGAATCGTGTGCGTCACCAATAGGTATTGGCGACGGATCGTGTACGTCGCCAATAAGTATTGGTGATTGATCGTGTCTGTCGCCAATGTGTATTGGCCATGGATGCGTTCTGTCGCCGATACTAATGTGCCCATCGTAAAAATTTTAAATTATTAATTGATTATCCTATTGTTATGAAGTGGCGTCTACAAAAATTAAGAATTATTTTAATATTAGTCCCTCAAATCTATAATATTTAAAAAGTATTCCACCAAATTATGTAAATTACATGCTAACACATCTAGGGATGTAATTGAACCAAATAATTAACATATTCGTTTGTTTATTAAATATTCGTTTAAAATTGATCATATGTTATTATTTGTATTATTGCATATATGATGTCATATTTGTTTGTTTTTTGTTTCATCTTTGATTAGTTTAGAGAAAATGATGAGAAAAGTGAAAATGATGAGAAAATGGTGAGAGACCAATGATGAGACTATTTTTAGTCATACGCGTTACGAACATGTAACCATATTAATTTTTCTAATGATATACCAGAACTTATCATATCTCTTATCAATTATTTAGGAGTTCTATGTTATTTTTAAATTTTATTTTTAATTGTTTAATTTTAAAATTTATTTTTTAGTATTCGAGTTTGCTAACGCTTAGAATTTGATCAGATGTATATTCGAATTATTTGTTTATTAAAAAATATTCATTTAAAATTGATCACAAGTTATTGTTTGCATTTTACATATATGATGTCGCTTTTTTAACCACTTACCATTTCTGCTTAAGTTTTATATACCGATTTTAAGACTCAAATAATCTTAAATCTATTTTCTAATTAAATTTTAATTTAAATATATACACATCATATATAGTAAAAAGGAATAATTTTTATTTATTAATTTTAATAATACTTGAAAATTTATTTCTTTAGCGGAATAAATATACTTTGGTATTCGATTAGTACTAGTGAGTTTTTGACTTTGACTTTGATTAGTTTAGAGAAAATGATGCGAAAAGTGAAAATGATGAGAAAATGGTGAGATAATAATGAGAATATTATTTTTAGTTATACGTGGTACGAACATGTAACCATATTGATCTTGCTATTGATATACCAGAAGTTATCATAGCCCTTTTTAATTAATTAGGAATTCTATGTTAATTATAAAATTTATTTATTTTTATTCTTTATGCTAGTAGATTCGATGACCTCCACTACTCTTGGATTCATTTACGAATGAACTTGAGCTTGTAAACATCATTAATGAATCTGAGAGGAACTAAATTAGATATAATCACTAAAAATCGGATGAAAATAATTTAGATAGACTTCTCTTGGAGTTTTTATAAGGTTAAGAGGAGAAATAGCCGTCGAAATTGAGTTCGAGCGAATATGATATATATTAGAGAAAAATTTTTTAATGGATATGGATTTTCATGTTTAAAAGTTAAGAGAAACTGATAATAATAGTTAGATTTAAAGTCAGTCTACTGCGGAGTCTCATCTACTGGCTCATATGACGGCGACTATGCGTGAAATCCGTCATAACAACTATTAAACATTTCAATCCTCTACGCATAACTATGCAGAAACAAATAGGTATGTCAACCTCTGCATATAACTATGCAAAAACAAATAGGTATATTAACCTCTGCGCATACTCGTGCAGAAACAATAATATAGGTATATTGACCTCTTCGCATAACCAGTCGGAAACAAATAGGTTTATTTGTTTTAAATTTTATTTTTTACTATTTATGCTAGCAGATTTGATGAGCTCTACTACTCTTTATTCTTTATGCTACCAGATTCGATAAGCTCTACTATTCTTTATGCTAGCAGATTTTATGTTAGTTTTAAAATTTATTTTTCATTCTTTATTTTTAAAATTTATTTTTTAGTATTCGAGTTTGCTAACGGTTAGAATTTGATCAGATCTATATTCGATTCGTTTGTCTATCAAATATTTATTTAAAATTGATCACGGCTATAAATATAAATTTGTTCAGATAAATTGTGTTTGTGGTATAAACATGCATATTTTGCATTTATAATTTTATTTTTTTACGTGAAGGAATGTCCTCACGACCTTCTTGTAGTCGATTATCTATACATGGATCCTCACCCGTTGAAGGTATGTATTTATTTAATTTCATTAAGTTAATTAAGGAACTTATATACTTATATCATTTTTATTACTTTTGTAGATATTGCATGGACATATACTAAAAAATTACTTTATTTTGAAGGATAAATGTTCAAAAAAAATACTTTTTTCATTTCCCCGCCTCCTTTTTCATTTCCCCGCTTCTGTTTTCATTTCCCCACTCCCTCTAAAAACCTCCAAAATGCGCCAAACCCCCCTCTTTCTCTACAAACCCCGCCTCCTTTTGTAGATATTTGAGTGATTTGCTATCCCGTCACTCAAATCACTAATCTCTCATTTTTTCTCTCTTGTTTCAGGCCATCTCCAATCAAGCCCTCCTCCAATTCTATCTCTGATCCCATCCTCCCCTATTTACAGTAAGCGATCTATTTCACTGACCCACTTCAATTTCTCCAATAGGTTTTTGATTTTGTTAATTTTGGTTCAATTTTTAGGTCAATTAGCAGTGAATTGGGCGAATTCGAGAGAAACTCAGGTGGGCCGGATCAAAAGCTTAAGGCCCTTTTGGAGGATTGCGTTCAGAGGTACTTTCAGGTTTTTGGAACAAATCCAAATGAGGCTTTCTTTCTTTGATGAATGAAATCAGAAAAGTTCATGATCCTGTGCATGTGAAGCGGAAGGGTCGACCAAAAGAAAAACGACAGCAATCTTTAGGGGGGAAAATTGTCAAAGCCAAGAGAAAGAAGGTTTTTTAGTTTTATTACTCATATGATTTATATGTTTAAGAAATTGTTAAATTAGGTATCAGTTCTCATCTAATAGGCAATATACTTGAATGTGTAGATACAGGAGGATCAAGTTCAAAGAGCTCAGAGTCCCGCAGATAAGTAGAAGTGCATGTTTAGCATTAACAAAGGAAAATTTTCTTTGCTTATATTCTCTCTTTGCAGATTTGATGAAATTTATTGAATCTTTTTGGACTAGTTAATCCATAACATTTTCTTATACATTTATTTATTTATTTATTTATATTTGTAGAAGTTTGCAACATGGAGAGTTAAACATGCTCCGAGTTGTCGAAACTGAAAAGCTTGTTCAAAATCAAATGGAGAGTCCTCATTTTGTTTGCGTGGTACTATTGGTTTAGAAGTTGGAATTTTAACGTATGAAATCTCTAGAGCACTTGCAAGAGTTTTCTATCATGTAAAAGCGACCTTTTGAATAGTTATTAAAACATTTATCTCTTTTCTCTTCTTATTTTTTCAGATATAGTTCATTGATCCAACCTGTTAAAAAATCTTGTGCAATGCTCTCTATAGTCATTCATTCATTTAATTTATAGGTAAAGATACAATAAAATCAAGAGATAATAAAATATTCATAGTTTGAGTTATAATTTCTTTGTTTTTCATGAAGAAGTGAATTAGTCCAATACATAATTTTAACTGAATAATAAAACTATTTTCACTTTCTACAATAAAGGTATTTCATACTTGATTGCAGACAATCTATAATACTCCGAAGGGGAGTAAGTGTAAGTTCAGTGCATTCATTGCATCACAAACACTGTGTTCAACTATGCTTCTACCCTATAATTCTTTTGGTGACTGCAGAATTGATGTTTCGCTCTTTTCTATTCAATGTGAGAGAACTATCAATTATAAATCTCTTGTTCGTAAGAGATTTTATCGCTCCATTGTTCGTAAGATATTTCTATTCAGGTTTCCTACATGAATCCTCTTGTTTTCGTTCAACTATAGTAAGGGCCATCTTGTATTTTTCATGTACTAAACTAGTGCCAGTTAGTTAATACCATGTCTTTCCCTTTCGTTTAGCTATGCAGCACTCAGGTGAAAATGTAGCACTCATTTCAAACTGAGATAGTGCTGGTCTTTCCTAACCTAAATATGCATATGATGAGCATAGTTATCATGATTGCCAAAAACTAGTCTGGAGATTCATGGGCTTAGACCAGCTTGGCAACTTCTCACCTTTATACTGTATATACTCTTATTTTGAGTGGTAATCTTTTCAGGTTAGAGGAGGTACTCTCGTAGGGAGCAGCAGTACGATACGACGTTCTAATGCAAACGACGCTGATAACAAGGATGTTGACAATGACGATGATGAGGAGTGAGTGAGACTTGTTTTTATATTTATGTAGTTATAGATTGTGTTAAGACATGTTGTGAGTTTTGAATTCTACCTATATGTAATATATTTGTTATTTTATTGTATAGTGAATGAATATTGTTTGAGCATGCGAGATGTGTTGTGATTGTGATTATATGATGTGTATTGTTCGATATTGTGGATTGATGGATGATGATGGATGATGATGGATGAGTATTCATTTGGAATGTGAATGTATATAATGGTTAATTTTATGATATATTGTTAAATATTGTCATTAGATTGATGTCGATACAGATTATATGTGTATTCTCGTATGGGAGGCTACCAGAAAATTAAATTTTTTTGCGTAAATATATACATTGGAGACGGATTTCCCTGTCGCCAATGCACATTGGCGACAGTGTGATTCGTCGCCAATGTTTAAAACATTGGCGACCGAGATTTACCCGTCACCAATGTTTTAAACATTAGCGACGGATCTACCCGTCGCCAATGTTCATTGGCGATGGGTAGATCCGTCGCTAATGGTTAAACATACACTAGCGACGGCTTTCCACATCGCCAATGTTTATTGGTAACGAGAACTACCCGTCGCTAAAGAAATCCATCGCCAATAGTCGTCCGTCGCCAATAAGTATTGGTGACGTGGAAACCCGTCGCCAATACTTATTGGTGACGGATTTATTGGCGACGGATCCATTTTCGTCACCAATATGTATTGGTGACGGATTTTGGGGCATTGGTGACGGATTTCCCCGTCACCAATGCCCTGTTTTCTACTAGTGTATTAATCTTAGCATGTAAAATGATCTATAAGATTCTGAAGTTCATTTCTAACTCACTTTGAAATAATAAAGGATAAATTTATGAATATTTTCTTTGGAAATTAAACTGTAAAACATATTGAACATTTCATGCATGGATGCTCTATAGCATGTGAATTGTGTGACTTTTCACCCAAAATAATACTCCATGGGGAGCAATTTGCCTATTAAAGATTTGGGTATAATTGAAACATATTGAAATATTTTAGTAATAAGATTGAACTCTTCATGCATTGATCTCTCTATTTGCGCCAGCTCCCTCTATATAAAAATATATTCAATTATCTAGGCGGATGTTTTTTACTTGATGTATGTCATCCTAGCATCAAACCTCAAATCTGCGTACGATTGGTGGTATAGCTATTGGTTGGATTAAAATTCATTGAAGTTGGCTATAGTGTATGAGAGGATCATGCCCTATCGTAGTCCACAAGTACTTGATGCTCAAGGTTTTGGTTCTATACAATATAAGTTTGGGAAAATTGCTTGTACCTCAAAAAAGTAAATAATTTATTTGTTTCCCTCCCAAGACTTAGTCCACAATCTCTTTATCCCCAAAATTAACATGATTATTTGTAGAACCCACAAAGTACAATGTCAACCCATACCCTCTAAAAAATAATAATAATAAAATCTCAAAAGTGCACATGTGAGCATCCTTTTTTTAGATTATTGTGCCTCACACACTCTCTCATCCCTTCTCTCTTCACTCCCATTTCCAACCCTTCCGCTATTAATTCCTCCCTCCCTCTTAAAAAAATTCTCTATCTTTCTCTCTTCTATTCTCAAACTAAAGTGAGATTCAATTTTCTCTATGGTAGCTAATAAAAATTCCGTATCAAGAGGTCGGTTGTCATTCTCTTCTCTAATTATGGTGTCAGATCTGTCATTATTGAGTTTGGGATATGGACGGAATGATCATTATGAATGATGGCAGTTTTTCTCACAAGCGGAGAATGAACCAAAAGAGTTCAAAGGAGATGTTTAGATGTTATATTGTGGGTTGTTTTACAAACTTTATAATGTAGTTTATTTTGAAAATAATTGTAAACTTTTTTCTTCATATGTTATATTGTAATGGTGGTTAATATGTTAGATACAAACCTTAATTTGAATACATTTATAAACTTGTAGTCAATTGTTAAGTTTAGCACTTAGTTATTAACTTTATGAGTTAATTGTTAATGTTATGAGTTAGTTTTTAAGCTTATGCATTTGTTGTTAAACTTGCTTATCAGTTGTTAAGCTTATGCGTTAGTTATTAAGCTTATTTATTAGTTGTTAAGATTTTTTGTCAATTGTTAAACTTATATAATGGTTGTTAAACTTTTTCGTCAGTTGTTAAGCTTATGCATTGATTGTTAAGCTTATGTGTTTGCTAGATAGGCTTTTTCCATTAGTTGTTAAACTTATACATTTATTATTAAGACTTTTCGTTAGTTGTTAAACTTATGTGTTGGTTCTTAAGTTTTTCATTAGTTATTAAGCTTATGCATTGGTTGGTAAGTTCTTTTATCAGATGTTAAGATTATGCATTGTTAAGCTTTTATATTAGTTGTTAAGCTTATGCATTGGTTATTAAGTTTTTTTATCAGTTGTTAAGTTTATGCTTGGTTGTTAGGCTTATATACTTATTGTTAAGTTTTTTCGTCTAGTAATAGAAAGAGTGGGAATAGAGAAAATAGCTAAATAATATTCATCAGTTGTTAATCATGAGAAAACTTAACAATAAACACATAACCTAAACAACCAATGCATAAGTTTAACAACTGGCGAGAAACCTTAATAGGCAATGCATAAGCTTAACAACTGATAAAAAACCATAATAACTAACGCATAAGCTTAACAACCAATGAAAAAGTTAACCAATGCATAAACTTAACATTCAATATATAAGCTTGACAACTAATAAAAAAGCTTAATAATAAATGCCTAAGCAACCAAAGCATAAGTTTAACAAATAACATAAAAGATTAATAAACAACACATAAGTTTAGCAACTAACAAAAAAGCTTAACCAAAGCATAACATTAATAACCAACTTATAAGGTTAACAACTGACGAAAAAGCTTAACAACTAACGCATAAGCTTAACAATCAATGCGTAAGCTTAATAGCTAATTAAAAAGCTTAACAACTAATGTATAAGCTTAACAACTAATGTATAAGCTTAACAACTAACGAAAAAGTTTAACAACTAATGCATAAGATTAATAACCGATGAAAAATCTTAACAACAAATGCATAAGCTTAACAACCATATCGTATAATAATCTGGTATAAGCTACAAAATATCATTCCCTTCTCATATTGCTTTTATGAATAAGTACACATAGGTCTTGCAATTGTATCTACAAACAGAAATAAAATAAAATATAACAGTTTTTTTCATAAACATTAATACAAACTCTCCAATAGTTAAGGGTATCTCTTCAAAATTCAACGAATTTGTAACTCGACAACAATTCTCTTCTCTCTCTCTCTCTCTCTCTCTCTCTCTCTGTGTGTGTGTGTGTGTGTGTGTGTGTGTTTATACCCTCCACCAACATTCATAATGATCCTTTCGTCTAGATTTCAGACCCAAGAATGGTAGATCCGATACCATAACTAGAGAAGAGAATAACAAACGATCCCTTGATACGGGATTTTTGTTAGCCACCATAGAGAAAACTAAACATCACCCTAGTTTGAGAGGGGAAGAGGAAAATATAGAGACTTTTTTCAAAAGGGAGAGAAAAATTAATGGTGTTGGGTTTAACAAAAGTGGGGAAGGAGAGGGGAGGAGAGAGAGTGGAGCACAAAAATCCAAAAAAAAAGGGTGGTCACATGACTCACATGTATAGTCAATGGTAGTTTTGGGATTTTATATTTTTTCTAAGTGGGTATGGTTTGGCATTGTACTTGGGGGATTCTACAAACAAAAAGGTTGATCTTGTAAGTAAAGAGATTGTTGACTAAGTCTTGGGAGGTAAGCAAATAAGTTATTTAATTTTGGGGGTTAGAAGCAAGTTTCCCTATATATTTTTTGCTAGTATGGTTTGAGTTTTAGTAAGGTGGCTTTCTCTATGCTTTTTCAATTTTTTTATGATGATTCCTTTATCAAAAATCATCTCTTAATATATCCTTGTTCATAGACACAAATTCAGTGAGCACTTTCCAGTGATCTTTGGTGTGTTTTCTTCATTTTGATCCACTTGTTGGTTATATTCATGGATAGAAAATTGTGTTATGCAACTTGGCAGATATGACAGTGACTTCCTTAATTCCGAGCTCTCTTCTTCTTTGTTTTTATCTTGTCAAGTTCAGCACTTTTGTCTATGACTTGGATAGAAGTCTCTGGATCATAAGAAAGAGATGTAGAGATGAATCTCAAGGTACTTGTCTATGTCAATTAATTTTATTGCATATATTTTACTTGTTTTCTCCAGATGATAAATAAAAATTAGGTTGTGGCTGAGCATGTACACCACTGTTTCCACATGATATAGTTTTCCTATAGGCACAAATACACACATATACATGAGCACATGCACGCTTGTTTCCTCAGACACACCATATAAGAATGCATGCCCACTATCTATAGCATTGGCAAATTTGACCTGACTCACTAATCCGACCCAAACCCAACCTAGAAGTAGTCGGTACTTGTGACACTTAATTGGATATGGGTCATAAAAACATCGCCAATTTAATAAATGGATAAGGTATTAATGCAACCATTTGAGTCAAAATGATCCGACTTGACCAGAAAAACCTATAATATTTTTCAATTTAAGACCGTGGTTTATTATGAACAACTAGATTTCTAGTAATCATGCATTTAGAGGAGACCGATAATGGATCCAATCCTACCAATCTCACATTTTCTTTCTTTTTTTTCTTACCATACCAAATATCTATAGATTTGATGACTCAAGAGTTGTGCAAAAGGCTTGAGTGGAGTTATTTTTATATCCAATGTTTAGATCCAAATCCTTGACACAATTCATTTTGGGTTTAGATGGTTTTGTTTTTGTATATGCCCCTCAAATCATATTTATTTTTAAAATACCCTCCAAAGAATCATATTTGATATCTTATTTTCCAAATTTTAGTCATGCCATATCTTCATTTTACCCACATTCTAACATTCACTAGTAGAAACATAGCATTCGCTGATAGGAACATCCCTGACGGAAAGTTCCCATCAAGGATGTAAACATCCCTGATGGCAATTGCCGCCAGTGATGATCTCGTCACTATCGTACAAGTCCTGTCAGGGATGTGCACAGCCCTAATTGGATTGCTAACATCCCTGACGA